GATGATTCTATGATCTAACACATTCCTGGTCCACCTAACTAAAGCTTGACTCTGTAATTCCTTGTTTTACATTTTCTTTCTCTGCGATCTATTAAGGAGAAAGCCTGGGCACAGACCAGTAATGAAGTGGCAGTGGTTTGCAGTTTAATTCCCAAAGTCTAACGGATCGAGAAATTGACTTCACTGGCCTGAGCTGACACCGTCGTCAAAGCTGGAAGTAGAAAGAGGGGAAGAGGTGAAAGGTGGAAATCCACAAAGGCACACATGCCTGCCTACTGGCTCCTCCCGTGCTTTGTGGGGTGCTGCAGCCTAGCGAGGAACAGCACAGATCTTATAGGGATGAGGCTGCAATAAACCCCCTAGCATGGGCTCGGTGTTGATTTCCTTCACTCCCTCCGGTAGCCTGAAGGTGAACGCCCGCAGCAGGTTGGTGAAGAAGATGAAGAGCTCAGTCCTTGCCAGGTGCTCCCCCAAACACACACGGGGCCCTGCAAGAACAAAGGGCCAGTGATTGAGTGGGGGGTAATGTTTATTTTTTCATTTGAAAATCTGAATTACAATTGGATTGAATGTATTGTGTATCCGATCTGGTCAAAGCTCAAAGCTGGCAAAATCCAATTTCTCACTGAAGAAAAATACCATCTGTTTAAAGTGAAGTCATTTAGTTATCAAGATTTGAGGATAGGTCTGTGCACATGTGGCACAATATATTCTGTCCTCTGAGACTGAAACAGCCGTTGAGTAACCATGGGAGAAAAGGACATACGGTCATTTTCCATGTAACTGTTACTCTACGGTTGAGGATCGTATTTATTGCCTTGCGATTTCTAAGTGCACTAGAATTATACTCATTCGTATTAATGATTGGGAGATCCAATGCATAATAGTTATTTTTGCAAATTAGTAACTGAACAATTAAAATCCATCACAAAATATACGTTCCTTTGTTTTGACAATTCTCATTTTAGTATTAATAAGAACATAAAAACGGCCATATTAGGTCAGATCAATGGTCCATCTAGCATTCTGTAATTCAATCTTTGCTGAGAAATGGGGTGAGACTGCTGGGTTTTGTGTAAATTACAAGGTCTGAAGGTTAACAAGGTTCCACTGCTAATCCATTAATTCACCCCTCACAATCGAACCCACTAAGAAGCTTTTCCTGTCAGTGCTCTTACCTGCTGAGAATGGTAAGAAAGCTTCTTTGGTCACAAAATTTCCATCCTGATCCAGGAAGTGATTTGGGTTGAACTGTCGAGGTGTCTCCCATTGCTCAGGGTCAAGCAAGGCAGAGGTTAAATTTGGGAGAATAATGGTGCCCTGCAAGGGAAAATTTGACTCAGTTCAGTGTCTCTCCATCAGAAAGATGGGTAAGGACCGACAGTCTTCAGTTTTCATTTATTACCTTGCGTGGAAGGTCACCTAGAGAAAACCCTATGTCCCCAGGAATACATTTGGAGTGCGCTGGACAATACATTTCTATTTGTCCTTCTGCATCTGATGACAGCAGTCATGTTGCTAGAAACACCAGCAACAAAGAGGCCAGTGCAAAAGTCTTATACCTAGAATCCTCCCTGCTTTAACATTGACTCCTCAATGGAAGCAAAAGGAGGAATGTTTAACATTTTTAAACAATTGCTTTAAATTGACAACGTTATATTTTTCTGGTGTTAAAACGGCAAGACACTGACCAAGAGTTCAATGGGCTGATAGAATTTGAAAACAAGGCCATTCAGTGTGAGATTTAAAAATGGAGAAGAGATACACGGTCTAACCCTTCTTTCTGGCCAAGAAATACACCAGGTAGGATGTAGGAGGGGGAATTAAAGGGGTCTTGAAGTCACCTTTGAGCTTCCCTTATTCTTGGCTCTGCCCAGAGCATAATGTTGCCAAGGCCCCTAAGGGACATATTGGCAGCTGAGAATAGCCAGATCACAGCAGGCTGCAAGAGTGGTCACCCCAAGCTCTCTGCTGATTCTGTAATGTTTGAGGAACTCCCTAAAATCAGGGATATTTCCCAGTGGCCTCATCCATCAGCTTTATTCTTTAGGTGTTGGAAGAAAGTGAAGGAGCTGCAAAGCAAAAGAAACTCAGGTCCACGGTGTATGTGGACACACCGATTAGTTGGATTCCTAGTACATTGGCCCTCTGATGGAAGGATAGAGAACGGCTCTGTACCTTCTCAATGGGAAAGCCCTGCAGCATTGTGTCTTTTACACATGTTCTAGGAATTCCGACTGCAACGATGTTGCTGTAGCGCTGGATCTCATGAATCACGGCGTTGGTGTAGGGCAGGTTCTTCCGATCCTCGTAGCAGATTAATTGGGAGGGACCCAGCTCAGCGTCCAGCTCCTTCTGGACTTTCTCTGAAGAGAAACATTAAGGACACACATTTTGGACTGTGTGCATGTGTGTATCCTGGATAGGGTGGCCAGACAGCAAGCGTAAAAAATTGGGACACTTTTTTTCCAGGGTGAGGGGTGGGTATAGTTGCCTATATAAGACAAAGCCCCTAATATTGGAACAGTCCCAATAATATCAGGACATCTGGTCACCCTAATCCTGGAGCCTTTTCTTTTCCCTGCTGGAATGTTATTTGAATCTCTCCTTTATTGCTGGGTTAACGTCAGTGGGAGGGTAAAGCCCTGCCAGCAAGACAAGCGTAGCAAGTAACTGCTGCATCTCAGGACCTGGGAGAGATTATCCGCACATTCCACAGAGACCCAGACAACAGATGCCTGAAACTCAGTGTCAGGGCCAAATTCGGCCCTGGTGAAGAGCTTTTCCCTTTCTTTTCTCTGATAGGAAGACTGATGGTGGGGGCAGCACCCTCAGTACCACTCATGGCCATGAGTGCACTGTGCAGGGGACTGGACTAGATGACCTCTCGATGTCCCTTCCAGTCCCATGATTCTATGGTGTCTGCTTCTGAGGCAGCCAGGAACCAGGCTGCTGCACAGGGAAAGCTTTACATAAGAACATAAGAACGGCCGTACTGGGTCGGACCAAAGGTCCATTTAGCCCAGTATCCTGTCTACCGACAGTGGCCAGTGCCAGGTGCCCCAGAGGGAGTGAACCAAAGAGGTAATGATCAAGTGATCTCTCTCCTGCCATCCATCTCCACCCTCTGACACACAGAGGCTAGGGACACCATTCCTTACCCATCCTGGCTAATAGCCATTAATGGACTTAACCACCATGAATTTATCCAGTTCTCTTTTAAACCCTGTTATAGTCCTAGCCTTCACCACCTCCTCAGGCAAGGAGTTCCACAAGTTGACTATGTGCTGTGTGAAGAAGAACTTCCTTTTATTTGTTTTAAACCTGCTGCCCATTAATTTCATTTGGTGGCCCCTAGTTCTTATATTATGGGAACAAGTAAATAACTTTTCTTTATTTACTTTCTCCACATCACTCATGATTTTACATACCTCTATCATATACCCCCTTATTCTCCTCTTTTCCAAGCTGAAAAGTCCTAGTCTCTTTAATCTCTCCTCATATGGGACCCATTCCAAACCCCTAATCATTTTAGTTGCCCTTCTTTGAACCTTTTCTAATGCCAGTATATCTGTTTTGAGATGAGGAGACCACATCTGTACGCAGTATTCAAGATGTGGGCGTACCATCAATTTATATAAGGGCAATAAGATATTCTCTGTCTCATTCTCTATCCCCTTTTTAATGATTCCTAACATCCTGTTTGCTTTTTTGACTGCCGCTGCACACTGCGCGGACATCTTCAGAGAACTATCCACG